AAAACCCCTGTAGACTATTTCCTGTAGTGAATTAAGAGTTTTAAAGATTTTTAAAAGTAAGGGATTAACTGGGATTGGAAATGTTGTTTTTGGTCATTATCCGAAATGCAAAATAACTATACATGTGGACCTAGTTATAAAAAAACAAATGTAACTGGGCTATGAGACATTTATATAGATATTGGAATTAAATACTGGTTTATCCATAATTAGTTGTATATAGTTATAAAGTTTTTGTTTTTTACATTTTTCAGATAAGATTATAATGTTATGTATATGACTGCAGTATTTTGAATTTTAAAGTAGATAATACATAAAATGCTAAACACTAAGTACTTAGTAAAAACTTGCAATGAAATTTATATTGTTATTTTTGACAGCTTTAACTTTGTAAGTTACTATTATTTAACCAACATAAGAATACTACACTTCAAATGCAATGCAGTATACTGATAATCTCAAAAATAAGACAGTGAACAGACTTCTTTCTGTGTGTGTGGCAGTTGATTTTGCTGTGGCCTGTTCTTCATTTGTTCTCTGCCCCTCATAACCCATCTCATATATGTGTCTTGCTATTGAGATATAAACATGAAAAAGCACATTTGATTTAATTCAGACTCTTCAGTTGGCTGTTTATTTCTTCTATGTTTTTACTTGTGACCCCACATTTTGTTTGATTTTTATTAAATGATTGATGAGAATAGAGTACTAAAGAAGTTTGTTGAATAATTTTAAATGTATATATAGGTAAGTCAGATGTAGAAAATCAAACTGAATCCACTTTGCATGCTGTTATGTAGAGACTGCCATTTACATATATTTTTAAATTAAACATATAACTTTCTCTCTAGATTTCCATGGCCTGCAAGACACTATTTTTTCTCACCGATGGAATATCTCTCATTATACCTTTCTTAGTAGAACAGATGCCAACAAGAAGAGCATTAATTTAGTTCTAGGTTTTTCCTAGAAATAGATTTTTTTTCTCTCTGTAATATGGATTATGTACACTTTTGCTTTCTTACAGAACAACATTCCTCACTTTTTCTTAAATCTCAAATTAAGATTTAAGTCATTACTAACATGAATGTGCTTATGATTTGACATGGATTACTAGTATAACAATTAATTGATGAAACCAGGCTCTGCAAAATTGTATAAAGCAAAGACTTGTCTTCAAATATAAATTTTGAAAACTATGTCAGATATTAGTCAAGGAATCTTCAACTAAAAATAAACATTTAATTTCCATTATTTGAAATACACTAGGAAAAGTACTGCTTTGATGTCAAAACTATGTGTTGAATAAGCTGTCCCATGGAGGGGCGGGATCTTTTTTAATTCTGTGCTCCAAAAGTTTGTATTCACCATGGGATGTTAAACTTTTAACCCCGAGACGATGAATTAGCCAGTGGAGCCCCTGGAAAGTGACTGGGTCATGACGCAAAGCCCACATGATTGGGATCAGTGCCTCGAGACACACTTTACGTTCCACTGCGTGACACCACAGCAAGAGGGTAGCATCACAAAAAGGGTCCTTAACAGGCACCAAATCTGCCTTCATTTGGACTTCCTAGGCTCCAGAACTGTCTATAATAATTTTCTGTTATTCAAAAACCACCTCATTTAAGCAGTATAAATAGAATAAGACATTGTGCTTTTTTTTTTTTTTTTGTATTTAGTGTATTTATCTTATCAAAATATCTGTTTCAAGTAAATTACAACCTTCGTCTTGGAATCATTGTATACAGGGAATGAAAGGTTTATGAGATCAAGAAGTTGGTTTTCTTTTGCTGCTTTGGTTTATCCTGCTTTATCCTTGCTCTAGCTTCAGCACCCAGAATTGTGTACATATTGAATGTATGATCTTGATAATAAGTGGAATGAATGAATGAAGCAATTAATAGTGTAGCTCTTCAATGAATGCTTCTTATATTATGTTGGAGGTGTTATGAAAAAAGAGTAGCACGTGACAAGTTATTGATCATGCCAGTATCCAATAACTAAATTATTTTATATGAATTATTACATGAGGCTCCATAGAAATACAAAGGGACATAGCTTTCCAAAAGCTTATGATTTGAGAGAAACACAATATTTGCACAATATTAGGGGAAAATAAACTAGTATTCTTTTAACATTTACATAAAATCACAAGGAAGTGTGCGAATAATTTACTAAGAAAAGATGTAACAAAATGAAATCAGTACTTTTTTAGAAGATACATGAGTGCTTTTTATTTTAAAAATATGCAAATTTTATACTATTGTAATGTAAAATATTTTTAAAATATAAAAATGATTGTGATGGATCCCAGTAGAAAAAGTTTAGTTTGGACTGGATTAACTAGGGGAGCTTTGTGGGGATTGTAGTATTTGACTAAATCTTGGGTTGGGAATAAAAGGCACTCTGGGTTGGAGAACTTTGCTTTTAAGTTTTACTATTTATATGTAACTAAAACTTCCTTTGAGAATGTGAGGTCTACATAATTAGCCTGGTAGAGTTTTCCCCTGATAATAGCTATGTAGGCTTGCTTGCTGATTCATAGAGATAGTCTGTATATATACCAGTATCTCTATAATTATTCCTGTATATTTCCAGAATAATGTAGATTACCTTATATAGGAAAGAAGTTAACAGTTTTTGTCCAATAAAGTCTACTTTTGTTATGTATTAGAAATATTATGGTTATGTTTCATTCTATGTTTAGTACATATTTCAGAAAAGAAACGTGGATGGAATTTATTCTTGACTGTTGGAGAGAAAATGTAAGGCAGATGGCCTCTGCTCCTGTGATGTTAAATAAGCCTTTTTCTGGACAACTGTTGTCAGTGTGATTCTCTACTGAGGGAAGACTTGTCAAATTATTGCCTGTTCTTCTTTTTAAAATTGGTAGTTGTATAAGGCAAAGGTTGGCAAAGCTGCTGATATATCTTAATATTTTGAAGAATAAGTGCCTAAAAAGTCAAACATTTGTCATGGACCTTGAGCAAGTTTTATTTTGGTAGTATAGGAACAAGATTTTTAAAAATAAATAAGACACACACATGCCTTCCCTCCAAATATTCGCTATCAAGTGAAAACATAGACATAAAAATCTAACTATAAGGCAAAATAGCCATAAAAGCAAGATGTCATAGCAGGCTGTTTTGACAAGGGAGACTGAGAAAAAAGGGCCTTGAAGGATGAAAAGAAGTTTATGAGATGGAAAATGGCTAATAGAGGCATTGCAGGATTATGAAGGGAGAGAAGGCCTGTTTGAGCTAAGCTAGCACTATGTGTGGTAATTTATAAATAGATGCGAAATGTGTTATCTTATACTCTCATATGGCTCCTAGAGACAGGCATTACTGCCCCACCCTGCAGATGAGAACTGTGGCAGAGGATGTCTCATCTCCCACAACTAACACATAGCAGAGTGCTGTCCTCAAATTCAGTCACACAGACAAGTGCTTCAGGACACTTGTTTTTGCTAGTGTGATGAGTCCAGACTTTTTCTTCCATAGTGTTTTTTAGGAGAAATTAAACTACCTAATAATTGAAAGAGGGTTTTGTGACCTATGGACCGGAAAAAAATATTAGGGATCTAAATGGGAAAATTTTAATCATCTCTACCTTGCTATTTCTAAGTACTAAGAGCTCACTCAGAGTCCACTGCACTCAGACTTGTCTTAGAAAGTAAAGCTTATGCAAATTTTCAGTGTATATGGGTGGCTTAGGAAGGTCTAGAACCTGCATTAGTTTCAGTTCAACTTAGAAATAGCAGAATCTCTAAGGAGCATTCACATCCACTTGTTCTTTGATCTCCAGTTTCAGTAAGAGAAACTGAGTAGACTGTAAATACAGTGGGACATGTGCTGGTTGTCATTCAAGGGACTCTGCTTGGGTACATTTGTTTTTTTGTTTGTTTTTTTCCTTTTTTGAGTATATTGGCTATTCTCCACTCTTTCCAACCAGAATTCAGTCTAAATGGTTATTATCAAGACGTATTTTGATTTAGCTTCAAAGAAATTAGCAATAGTACCAATTTTTAAACATTAATCTTGTGTTAACTTGTGGGTATTCACAACTTGTGTTAACTTGTGGCTGTTTAAGAGTGCCTAATTTTTCTCAGCAGTTTCTGGTTGACTGGGTGATTTTTCAGGTCTTGAATAGACCTACTCATGAATTTGGCTAGAGTTGCTAGGAAGCTGCGCTCATCTAAGGCTGTCACATAGGTTTTCATGTGTATAGGTTGATCTGGAAAGTTTCAGCTAGAACAACTGAACTCTTCTCTAAGGAGGTGTTCCTCCTCTGTCAGGCCAGCCTCTGCTTCTCAGTAGAAAGTTGCAGGAGAGTAAGAGGAAGCGTATGAAGCCTTCAGGGCTGGTAACTGAGTCTTGATGCTAACGATCTTTAGTTTTGCTGCAATCTGTTTGCCAACTTGTCACTAGGCTCTAGGCTATGCAAGATTCAAGGGGCCTGGAAACAAAGCCCCTGGTAGAAAGACATCCTCTATTCCTTTGCAAGGGAGTATCAGTAGAGAGGGTGGTAATTGGGGCCATTTTACAGTGCACACAGTAGAGACAGGTTAATTTTGTAGGAGAAAAAGCCTGTATAAAGTGTTTCGTGCTAATTCTTGTAAAAGGAGCACTGGTAGTTCTAATCTGTTTGAATTGGAGAACCATAAATTTCAGGTCTGACTCTAGTAGAAAATGAGTCATGGAATGAGGGAAGAGGACTGGAGTGACTAATGTTACTCCTGGAAGCTTGGTATTATTCATTGTTTATAAAAGGAGTCTTCTAAGGTTTTAAACAAACAGGAATACCATTGTGAGCTTTGCTCCTTTTTTTGGCAACAGGGTGCATTTAAATTAGACTGAGGTGGGGAAGTAATATAACGTGAATACTACAAAATTCTAGACTACAAAAATGATAATGAAAATCACAATAAAGTAGGGGAAAGTGTTCGCCCAAGTGTTGTAAGACTGACCATTTTAATCTCTTAGACAGAGGCTTACCTCCGCAGCCTCTCTGGTGCTCCTGTCTGTCTGCCTGCTAGAGATTTTTGATGTCGTGCGTCCTGTCTGTCGTTTCTCCTTTCTCTCACAGAACTGTCCTCTGTCACACATGTGTGGTTGGATTCTGCTTTGAAAACATAGATTCACATGTAGTTGTTGCCAGAACAAGTGTCTTCCCATACTCCCTTATTCCTACAGTGGTAAGGAGCTTCTTCAGACATCTACTTGGCCTGCTCCGGTGTATGAGTGTAAATGTAATGCAGAGACTCAATTTTTAATTTACTTTGTTCTCTGTGTAGCATATTCAGAATTAACTTTCTTAGATTCAGAAACCTTAAGGAAAGTATATTTTAAAATATTTTTCTCTTATTAGTGCATACGTCCTGGAGCATATGTGGGGTAGAGATTAATTTACAAGAGAAATTTAGGAGTAGAAACTAACTATGTTAATGTTTATGAGGAATTACCAGTTTTTAATCAAGGATAATGAAATTTTAAAGTAAAATTTTACAGGAAAAATAAAGTTTTCTGCTTTTAGAAAGTACCTATTATTGGCATTATTTGCATTTTTCTTACTCTCAGTGAACTATTTTGAACCATTGTTCTCTTGATTTCAAATTCTATTATGATGCATTTAGTTCCTTAGAAAAGCCTAGTTACCACTTTTTTAAAGTATTTTTTTAATTCTTTAAAGAAAATAAAAAAGTAAACACAAAAAGCAAAAGAAGTAAAACCAACAAACCCAAAATGATATTGGTTTTCAAAACAGAATGAAACTTAACAATGGTTGTTATATTGCATATTGTTCTTTTTTATCAAAGAAAGAAAAGAAAATTTAAAAAAAATAGAAAAACAGAAAAAAAGGTAGAACAATACCAAACTAAAAAAAAATTAACATCATAAAATTATTAGTTGATATATTACTCATTGTCCTCTTAAAAATAGTTGCCAAAGTCACAAAATCAAAGCATAAATAGTGACTAGACACTCAACATTGACAAGCCCTTCTGTTCAGTGGTCCAACAGAAATTCAGTAATATGGTCATCTATAGTACACACTAATCATACCGTTATAACCTTTTAGAGCATTTTCTTTCCCTTTCACTTTCAGAATATCTATTATACTTTTTGGATCCCTTTATTCTATCAGTTTTTATTATCTTTTACACTAAAGAGACAATGTGATATTTACTAATGTAAGTCTTGTTTATTTCACTAATGAGAATATTCTCAAGTTGCCTCCATTTCCCTATAAAGGCCTGAAGATCATCCTTTTTATAGCTAAGTAGTATTCCATTATACAGAAATACCACATTTTTTTTTGTCCACTCTACAGTTGATGGGCATTTTGGTTGTTTCCAAGATTTAGTTATCACAAACTGTGTTGCTATGAACATGGGTGCACATACATCTCTCTGTGACATGACCTTTTCAATTTTTCAGAGAAAATACCCAGGAAGGAAATAGCTGGATTGAATGGAACCTCCAATCCTAGTTTTTTTTTAGGAATCTCCATACTAATTTCCACAGTGGTTGCACCAGTCTGCACTCACACCAACAGTGGAGCAGTGTTCCTTTTTTCCCTGCAGCTTCATCAAAATTTGTTTATCAGGTGTTTTCTTGATGGCAGTCATTCTTTCCGGGGTGAGATGAAATCTCAATGCTATTTTAATTTGCAGTTCTCAAATGACAAGTGATGGTGAATATTTCTTCATGCATCTATTTGCCATTTGTATATCTTCTTGTGGGGAGCACTTGACCTGGGTGACACCGCGGACTAAGACCCAATAGGCTAGCCCAAACCAGGTCCCTGTGCCTAGCAGTACACGCTAAGGCAGTGAAGCCTTCAGCAGGTTGACTGACCTACAGAGGTGGGCCCACCATAGGCTGCCCCGATCTGTGTCTCCCTTCTACACTGCAGTGAGTGGAAACCCCTAGTCAGCACAATTCAAACAAACTGTAACCAACAAAGAAAGAAACTGCGCATCCTATATATGTCTGTATGGAAGGAACAAAAAATATGAGAAGAGAAGGCAACAAGAAAGGGTCCTCAGTGCCCAATCCTGAGAACACTGATTCAGGAAAGGTAATGCAAAGGAGAATGAGGACAGAAAACATGCAATATCAGGCATGGCACCAATAGAAATAAAGTGATATCTCAAGCTCCTCATAGACAAGTTCCAAACTGAAGTATTTAACCAAGTAAAGCAAGGTATATGTAGAACAGTTAAAGAAATGCTAAGCACCTCCCAAGAAAAAACAGATGGTGGAATGGAAGAAATGAAAAAAAGGGGAGAATTGTTTGATGGAGAAAATAGAGAAAACATAGAATACATGAAGCAGGTTCAAAGAGATTACCAGGAAACTAAAAACTGTATTGAAAGCTGGCATAAGAGCTTGAAAGAAACTAAGGATAGATTATCTGAGCTGGAGGGCAGATTTGTAATGTGGGAGCGTGAAAGGAAAAATTTGTTAAAAATAACAAGGAAATGAGCAGTAACAATACAAAGGATAGAAGATGATAAGAGAATCTATAACTTAAGAATAAAGAATGTGAGAGAAGAAGCAGGAGTACAAACAAAGGAACTGCAAAGGCTATTCACAGAAATAATGAGGGGAAAACTTCCCAAACATAGGAAAAGGGAAAGATGCTCAGATGTATGAGGCATACAGAACTCCAGCCACCTACAATCAAAACAGCTATACCAAGGCATATAATAATTAAGATTCCAGAAATCCAATATAAGAACAGAATAGTAAAAGCTGTCAGAGACAAGAAACAGATCACTTACAAGGGAATACCCATCAGAATTACAGCAGACTTCTCAGCACAAACCATAAAATCTCGAGGAGCATGGGATGAAATAATCCAAGCCTTGACAATAACCTCCAGCCAAGGTTGATCTTTCCTGCACAATTGTCCCCTAAAAATTAATGGAGAAACAAGGTGCTTCCAAGATAAAGAGGAACTGGGGAAATTCGCAACCACTAATCAAACTCTACAGAAAATACTGCAGGACATTCTAAAGAGAGAGAAAAGTACCAGGATCCCAGAACCAATGGTAGAGAGGCCACAATGAATGGAGCAGAAAGTGAAATGAAAAAGACAGACAATTAATGACAGAAAAAGAGCACAACAGAAACAAGGCAAAGAAGGTTGGATATAATTTCGAATGTAAATGGCCTAAATACACTAACAAGGGAAAAAAGAGAGAATCACAGGCAAAGTGGATCAAGAGGTAGGGTCCACCAAGAAGTTCTTTATAGGAAATATAATTAGCCTGAAGAAGGTTATATAGGCCAAAATCAAATATGAGAAAATGGAACCCGAAGTGAAAGGGAACCAGAAAGTAATAGGGATAACTGGGCCAGTATTTATGGATAGGTTGAGCAGACAGGCTTTAATAAATGAAGAAATATAACTAGAAATCCAACCCAAGCATGAGAAAGTACAAAAATACTTAGGTAAATAGCAGGTTGCCCCCCAATATAAAACCATGAGTGATGGGGAGACCCAAAAACACACAGTTCATTCTTTGGAGTAAAGTGGAGGAATAGTCTTAAAAAAAAAAAAAAAAACAGAAATATATAGCTAATAGTGTATCAGGAATTAAAACCCTTATTACTTGCACCACTCTGCTTGGTTGCAACTGGTTCCATCCTAGTTTGTATACAAGCACTGGATCAGAGGCCACAGACAGCTGTCCCAAAGATATCAGGTCATAGTACAGTGGTCATCTTTAATTTCCTATTAACTCCATCAGGATCCCTGTATGACTTATACTGTTGTATCATGACTGATCTGCTTGTTTGAATACTGCTTATTATTATAGATTTTAGTCAAAACTGTTAGGTTGCTGGTATCAAGTTGAGGCGTATAGACAACTATACTGAAAATGACAATGATTCACCACAGTATCCATTCTGATTTGATTACTACCTGTGTTTGTAGCTCTACACTATCTACAAAGTTGTATTTCTGTTAATTCTGTTATGTACTGATATGTTCAATTATACTTTATCTGATGATATAACCAATTCTGTTGATGGTAACAAGAAACAGCACAGTAACCATGGTAGAACTCTTTATACAGCAGTTTTAGATATCTTTTTAGTTTTATGTGTTTATAGGAATATGTTTAGTTCTGTCCTGCTTTGTTCTGTTTCTCCCTCTAATATAGAAAGGATAGAAATACATGTTAAGACTCATGCTTGCATAAAACCTATAAACAGTTTATGAGAACTGATCTTATGACACCTGATGAAATGAACAAATACTTCGAAGGAAAAAAAGGGGCACTGCAGTACCCAGTGCTGATTCTGGAGTGTTTTGATGTGAAATCCAGCAATATTATTAATCTTTGCTCAGAAAGATTTTAATCTAATAAGTTTTGTTAGATCTCAGCCTAAATGAAGGTATGGATAAATGCGTACATGTCTCAGTGTATAGGATTGATAGCCATAATACTTAGTTTTTGTTGTGGAAAACTAAGTGGAATAGAACTAGTGGAATAGAACTGTTTGCAGTCTCCCTGGTTGAATTCCCATTTATATGTTCCACTTCTGTATCTTGAACAGTTATTTGTAGGGGGACCATATGTATACATCAACTAGTGATTTATTACTGTTTATTTCTTTTCTTTGAAAGGATGTACTATTTCTGCCCATTTTCTGTTCTATGTTTCTCTAAATAAAAAAATAAAGAAGGTATCTTTTTTCCAGTGAGCATGTTTAGCTCCATTGTCAAATATAAAGTGGCTGAGTGTCTTTGTAGTCGTGTTTGCATCTTCTAATCTGTTCCATTGATCCTCAGGTCTTTTTCTTTGCCAGTACCATGCTGATTTTATTACTGTGGCTTTGTAATATAGTTTCAAGTCAGGAATTGAAATGCCTCCTGTCTTGCCTTTGTTGCCCAGAATCGCTTTTGCTATTCCAGGTTTCTTCTGTTTCCAAATGAATTTTAGAAATATTTTCTCTAGATCTGTAAGGTATGTTAATGATATTTTGACTGGGATTGCATTGAATCTGTATAACAGTTTTAGGAGCATGGCCATTTTCACAATGTTGGTTCTCCTATCCAAGAGCAAGGAATATCCTTCTGTTTTCTAATATCCTCTTCAATCTCTTTTTTAGAGTAGTATAATTTTCAGCATATAGATCTTTTACATTCTTGGTTAGTTTGATTCTTAAGTATCTGACTTTTTAAAATGCTATTGTGAAAGGCAATATTTCCATAATTTCTTTCTCAGTTAGTTTTATTTGTGTACAGGAATGCTATTAATTTTTAAGTATTGACTTTGTATCCAGCTATGCTGCTGAATTTGTTTATTACCTCTAGTAGTCTCTTAATAGGGTTTTTGGGGTCTCCTATATAGAATATCATGTCATCTATAAATAATGATAATTTAACTTCTTATTTTCCTATTTTTATTCCTTTTATTTCTCCCTCTTGTCTGATTGTTCTGGCTAATATTTCTAGAACTATATTGAATAGGAGTGGTGATAGTAGCCATCCTCATCTTGTTCCTGATGTTAGAGTGAAGGCTTTCAATTTTTGTTCATTTAGTATAATGTTGGCTATTTCTTTTTCATAGATGGCCTTTATGAGATTGAGGTACTTACCATCTATTCTGAGCTTCTGCAGAGTTTTTATCATGAAAAGGTTTTGGACTTTTATCAAAAGCTTTTTCTTTGTCTATTAAGATGATCATGTGGTTTTTATTTTTGGCTCTGTTGATGTGATGTATTACATTTATTGATTTTCATATGTTGAACCATCCCTGCATGGAATAAATCCCACTTGGTCGTGGTGTATAATCTTCTTAATGACTTGCTGCATTCTATTTGTCAATATTTCATGAAGAATCTTTGCATCAATGTTCATTAGTGAGATTAGCTTATAGTTCTGCTTTTTGGTTGGGTCTTTCTCTGGTTTTGGTATCAGAGAGATACTTGCCTCCAGGAATTATTTAGGGAGGACTGCTTCACTTTCAATTTCATTGAAGAATTTAAGGAGTATGGGCTTTAAATCTTCTCTAAATTTTCGTATTCTTCATATAGAATTCAGCAGTGAATCCATTAGGAACTGGAATTTTCTTTGTTGGTTAATTTTTAATTTTTTTGATTTTTGATTTCAGTAGCTCATACTGCATTACTCAAAATTCTTATGTCTTCTTGATTGAGCTTTGGTAGTTCATATGCTTCTAGAAATCTGGCCATTTCCTCTATGCTTTCCATTCTGTGTGAATAGAGATTTTCAAAGTATGTGTTCGTGATTTTTTGAATTTCCATGGGATCTGAAGTAATTTCCTTCTTTTCAGTCCTTATTGCATGGATTTTTTTTCTTTTTCTTGATAAGGTTGGCTAGAGGTTTATCAATTTTATTTATTCTTTTAAAAAAACAGCTCTGTTAATTCTTTGTAATTTTTTTGTTGTTTTTTGTTTATGTTTCCCTCTTAGGACTGCTTTCATTGCATCCCATAAGTTACAGTATTTTGTGTCTGCATTTGCCTTGTATTTTAGGTATTGTTTTATTTCTTCGTTGATTTCATCTGCAACCCATTGGTTGTTCAGAAGGTTCAGAAGTTGTTATTTAATTTCCATATATTTTTGCAGGTTTTGCAGATTTTTTGCCATTGATTTTCCATTTTAGTGCACTACGATCAGATATTATGCATGGGATAATCTCATCCCCTTTCTATTTACTTAAGAATGTTTTATGAGTTAATATGTATTCTGTTTTGGAGAACATCCCATGTGCAACTGAGAGGAATGTATTTTTTGATGTGGTCAGGTGAACACTCTGTAAACATCCACTAAGTCCCTTTGTTCACTGGTATGATTCAGTTCTATTATTTCTTTGCTGACTTTTTGTCTAGTTGATCTATCTTTTTGTGACAGTGGGGTGTCAAGGTCTTCTATTACAATTGTGTTCTTGTGTTTTTGGTTTTTCATGTCCATTAGTGTTTGTCTTATATAGTTGGGTGCTCCTGTATTTGGTGTATATGTATATTTATAATTCTTAATCCTTCCTCATGTAGTTTTCCACTTACAAGTATGTAGTGACTTTCTTTATCTCTTTTAATCCCTTTAGGTTTGAAATTCACTTTGTCTGCAAACAGAATAGCTAACCCTGCTTTTTTCTGGGTTCCTGTTTCCTGGAATACTGTTTTCCATCCTTTGACTTTTAGTCTATGAGTTTCTTTTTGAGTCAGATGTGTGTCTTGTATGCAGCATATTGTGAGGTCCTGTTTCTTAATGCATTTTGTCAACCTCTTTCTTCTGACATGTGAATTGAGCCCATTTACATTTATGGGTAACAATGATATGTACTGTCTTGACTTTGCCATATTGTATTCCTGCTGTTAGTTTCCTGCTTTCCTTCCTTGTTTAATTCCTTAAACAAGAAACCTGGTGTTTTTTTTTTTTTTTTTCTAGAGATTGTGGTCATTTTATCTCTAGATAGCATGTCTTTGAATATTGTCTCTAGGGTTGGTTTGGTAGAGATGGATTTCTGCAGTAGTTGTTTGTCATGGAAGTATCCTCTTCATTAAAATTGAAAGACAGTTTTACTGGGCACATCAGTCTGGGTTTAAAGTTGTTTTCTTTTAGAGCTCGATATACTTCACTCCAAGCTCATCTTAACCTGAAGGTTTGTGCTGAGAAGTCTGCCATGATTCTAACAGACTTTCCTTGATAGGTGAGTTTTGTCTTTTCTCTAACAGCTTTTAGTATGTTTTTAGGCTGTATGTCTGGGATCTTAATTATTATATGTCTGGGTGTAGATTTATGTTGGTTATGACTGTTTGGTGGTCTATATGCCTCAGTTATTTATATATCAGATTTTTCCCCATGTTTAGGAAACTTTTTGCTATTCCTCCTTTGAATAACTTATTTATGTCCTTTGCATTGTCTCCTGCATCCTCACTGAAGCCTATTAGTATTGCATTGTTTCTCTTGGCATCATCTTGAAGCTGCTGGATTGTCATTTCATGCTGCTTTGTTGTTTTTTAAGTTCTATTGTTTCATGGTCACTCTCTGCAAGTCTATCCTCAATGTCTGAAATTCTGTTCTCAGCTTCATTTAAACGGTTTTGCCAGCTTTCAGTAGAATTTTTTGTTTCTTGGATATCTCTTTGAATTTGTTTTATGGATTCTGCTTGTTTTCTGCATTGTTCATTCAAAGTTGCAATCAATTTCCCATGCTCCTGTAATTATTTTTATCTATTTCTTCCCTAGCTATGTTGAGCTATGTTAAGACATTACTTCTGATTGGATTTCCCCTATAGCATCATGGATTTGTTTCTTTACTTCATTTGCTTTCTTTTCAGAGATTTCTGGTGTATGACTTTTGAAGTCCTCTATTTCATTATCACCTGTTCTTGTTCCTGATGGACTAGATGTTTGAGATTGCATTTTGGTTTTTCGTTTTGTCATTTTCACCTTCTTGGCCAATATCTGGTTATTTAATCCCAATAGTCACAACTGTCAGCAGCTTATGTCCTAGGACTTACTGTGTGATTGATGTCTGCGTGATTGTTGGGTACATTGTGACTGGAACCACCAAGTCCTCTGTCAAATCATCACTGCCAGTCTACTGCAGTTCAGGGTTTTTGGAGGGAGAGACTAAGCAGTGCTTAGTCTAAGAGATTGAGAGGGTAGCTCAGGGCGATGGGCCAAGCCAGGGTGGTGCCAGGACACAGGCTAGGCTCTGCGGCCCAAGCCAGAGTGGAGTACAGTAGTTGCCCTCTGGACCAATGGTGGTGGTGGGAGGAGGTGGAGGCACATAGACCCAGCTCAGAGGCCTGAGCAGGGATGGAACACAGCAGTAGCCCTCTGACCGCCAGAGGTGGGAGGGTGCCAAGGCCCACAGGCTTGGCTCAGAGGCTCAAGCCAGGGTGGAGCCTGGTGGTTGCCCTCTGGCTGGTGGCAGTGAGAGGGTGCTGAGGCGCACAGGCTCTGCTCAGCAGCCTGAGCTGGGGTGGAGAGTGGCAGGTGGAGGTGGAAGTGTGCTGATGTGTGTAGCTAGTTACACTTTTGAGCTTAAATGTAAAACAGTTGTATTTTTTGGATTGCTAGAGATTTTTCATAATGTTATAAGCCAGGATACTTCACTTTGGTAATATGATGAAGCCCTTCCTGTTTTCCCTACAACTTAGAGATGCTATCTAATGCAATAAAAATTTATTTAGTAGTTTTTTTCTGTATTACAGTGGAGGTTTCTGGAAGTGTGAGGATTTTTACTAGTAGAGGTTAAGAAGCAGATAAATATCAGTCATATTTTTTTCTTTCTCTTTTTTTTTTTGTACTGGGAATCAAAGTCAGGACCTTGTGCTTGCCAGGCAAGCACTTGTGCCGATCAGCTATATCCCCAGCCCTCAAGATTTTAAAAGAAATCTGAAAATTATATAGTATGTGCAAGTATACTCTGTGTTTGTGTGTGTGTGATTCTTTTTCTCCTGCCTAAGTGATTCTGTCCTTAGGGGCAGGATTATGTAGTGTCGGGTCACTTAATATAGACTCTTGTGCATGTTAGCATCTCATGTATAGCACGTAGGACATATTTGTTGTGTTTAATCATTAAATATTATGCATTTGATTTTATTCCAGAAGTTTAGAGTATGTATTTATCATTTCATACACCTGCTGATTTTCTAGTTTGTGTTTTACTTCATTGGTTGTAAGGCACTGATATTGTCTTGATTACTTTTCTCTCCTTATTGAGACAAAACACTTGATGCCCAATGTGAAGCAAGGAAAGTCTTATTTAGCTTAGAGTTTTTGGAGGTTTCAGTCCATACTCAGCTGGCTCCAAGGAAGAGTTGTGTGGCTGAGGGGCAGCCATTCATGGCAGCTGCAAAGGGTAAGAGCCAAAGGGCAAGAAGGGAAAAACACACCTTCTTCACTGGTTTATATTGTGTGCTGGCTCCACCCTTGGGCAGGTGCAGCTCTCACATCGCCAGTCTCAGTGCTAGACAATGGACTAGTCTCAAACGCTAGATTCAGCCACCTCCACCACTGCATGAGGTTTGGAGGTGACCTAGACACAAACTATAACAGATATTGTCACCTTTCCTTTGGTTGTGTGTTCAGCTGGAAAAACTCTTCTCCCCAGTAAGGAAAAGTATGATCAACCTAAGCCAGTCACAGGAATCGCACCCAGATTTTCTAACAATTCCATTAAATGGGTTTGTGCAGTAGTTCTAGCTAAAGAGACACTAAGGGAAATTTGATTAATTCCTGGAAAAATTTTCTTTCTTTCCTTTTTTTTTTTTTTCTCACTTGCTCATTCTGACCTAAGAAGACTCTTGGATCTAATTCTGATAAAATAAACATAATTAGTAATCACATCTATGGAACTAATTGATTGCCCTAGTAGATTTCTATTTCTACTCCAGGAAAACTTGAGAATTTGAGACACATTAAAGATGTTGTTTTTGACAGATGTATTAATGATTATCAAATTTAATTGCTCTTAAATTAAACTGCAAATTTAAGAGCCAGATGTTACAGTCTAAAAGAGATAAGCAACTTTTCTGATAGTTCCCTTCTCCCAAGTCTGTTCCATTAGCACAAACTTTCTTTTACATTATTGATGTGTTAAACTGTCTACCTCCTTATCATGTGGGACTACTCAAGATATTTTTTTTACCAACATCTTTGGCCTCTGTTTACTCTGTGTGAAAGCTCTGCTCAGTTGTGATGAACAAAAATATCTCCAGCAATAGCTAAATATCCACTAGAAGATGAAATTAGCTCCCCTTCAGAACCACTGTTTTGTTGGTAGAAAACTGTTTCCTAAGGAGCATTTTGTCCTAAAACTGGGTCAAAAGAGAAGCGAAGGTTCTAATTATTATTGCCTTAGTCACTTCACTGGTTAGAAAAATACAATGGAGTTACTAAGTTTCTATGAATTGCTGCCTTCAATGAGCCTTTAATAATATGTCTTGACTCAAAATAAAGCTATGATTTAAATTTCTCACCCTTCAAAAAATCAGCAAATCAGAAAAGCAGTATCAGAATTACATTATTTTTCAATTTCATCCCCAGAGGTTAATTATCACAAAGTATTTAATAGCTCCTAAAATGGTGATTTTAAACTGTATTTAGGCTTCAGTTTGTTAATGTTAATTGATAAGAAATAAGGAATTCACATTCCATTTAAACATGGAAAAATGTATCTATAAGAATGGTTCAGACATGAAGTGAATCATGCCCAAAGAAAAGTGTAGGAATGGGGAAATCTGACCAATTTTTATTTTTAAAAGCAAATTTGAACTAAAATCTTATGGGGCCAGGTATTATGGGTGTTATAGTCAGGGGTTGTGCAGAGAACAATTAGAATCAGGACATGAAATTTATAATACTATTGTTATGATGGTCACAGAATTAACACAAGAAAATGTGGAAAATTTATCTGCAAAACTAAAGAAAGAATAACCAAGGCCTGAAACCCATAGCAGTGTCCCATATGAGTCCAGATGAAGACACAGAGCTTATAACAGTGCCTTCCACAAGTTGAACTGGAGATCTAGAGCCCACAAGAAGGACTCACACCAGTCTCTTTTACAGATCCATGATGGGAGGGCACAAAGATCAGTGATGGAAGCCAGAAAGTCCATTCCAGCGGGGTGAAGGAGCTGTGCTGGTAGGTTGAGGGTACTATGCTGGAGCCGAGAAGTCATGCTCGTAATAAAGACCAGGGCTAGAGAAAAAAATGATGGCTTGCTAGGGGACTGGATGCAGAGTCTCTGTGGAGAAATCAGATCATATGCTAGAATATGACAACATGGAGAAGGCCAGAAGAATGGATCGTGATTCTTGTTAACTAAGGCATTAACTGAAGGGAAAAATAAAACTAGGAAGAGGAAAGAAAAGCACGGGTGGAGAGCTGAAGCCTGATGAGCTCACTGAGACCCGTTCCATGCTGTACTAGGCATGCCTGAAGGATCCAAGGTCATGCTGAGACCGCGGCTGCCAATAACGGGAGTCAGCAAATCCCAGGCCCTTAATGGAAGGACATGGTGCAGTGAGCAGTGAATCCCAGGGGAAGAGCTATATTGGCTCTCAACGACTGCTGGAAATTGGGACCTGGAGCCCCACGAAGCAGCCAGAGCCACCTGGCTGTGCCAGAGGGGACTGTGAGAAGCTCCTGGGCTCTGAAGCCAGACACCATGTAGTTTTCTGACCGATCTGTGCTGTGCTGGGAATGCAATGAAGACATGCAGCTCAGTGTGCAGAGGACCCAAGAGGAAGATCTGCATTGATTCCTGGTAAGTGCTAGGGACTGGGTCCTGCAGCTGGTGTCGCTGGCTGGAGGACATCTTAGAATTGGGCAGAGCCTGGCATTGCGGCAGTGTCAAAGACACAGAGAGTACTGATGCAGGACATCTTGGAGTTGGGCAGAGTCCGGCCCCGCAGTGACGTCAGATAGTTGCCCCTGGTGCAGAGAGCTCTGGTGGAGGACAGCTGGGAGTTGGGCAGAGCCCAGCGCCACGGTGACATCAGCCAGCTGCCCCTGGCACAAAGAGAACTGGCAGGGTCAGCTGGGGCTGAGCTATGCCTCTGGTTGGGACCCAATAAGCAGGTACAAAATTGTCGCGACTCTGTGACATCCACAAGGACAGCCTAATTTGCAGGTTGACTGGCACAGAGACTCAAGGCTAACCTGCACAGTCCCTGCATCCCTGCATGTACCTCAGATAACAGAAAATTGGGGAGGGCACCAAAAACTCCAGTCAGCATGCTTCAGAAAGACCCTAAGCAATACAGAGAGGGCCAGAGACCCCCCAGGACACACCAGTCTGAAAGAAACCAGAAACATGACAAGAAATAGAAATAAAATCTCCTGCTGCCAAACCTGGGAAAACAAGCCCAGGAGAAGTAAATACAGAAGAGAACCAGCACAGTAACCATCCAATACTAGATACAGCATCAGTGGGTATTCAGAAATACCTTCATGACCTCATAGATGAATTTCAAACTGTACTTCTAATCCAAGTGAAGCAAGATATAAAGAGATTAATTAAAGAAATGATAAGCCTCTCCCAAGAGAACACAGATGGAAGAACAGAGGAAATCAGAAAGGAAAGAGAAACCTCTGATGAAAAATTTAAACATAACCTAGAATACATGAAACAGATCCAAAGAGATTACCAGGAAACTAAAAACTCCGGTGAAAACTGGCAAGATGCCTTGACAGAAACTAAACTTAGCCTTTTGAAACTTGAAGAGAGATTTATGATATATAATCACGAAAGAAAAGACCTCTTAAAAATAATGAGGAACCAGAAAGAAACAATTCAAAGGCTAGAAGACTATAAAAGGATACATAAGAATAAAGCACGTGAGGAAGCAGGAGTAACCAAAAATGAACTACAGAGAATATTCACAGATATATTAAAGGAAAACTTCCCAAGCATAGGAAAAAGAAATGATATCCAGATAAATGAAGCATACAGAACTCCAGCCACCTAAACCAAAACAGATCTACATCCAGACATATAATAATCAAGATTCCAGAAACCCACTAAAAGCAGCCAGGGAAGAGAAGCAGATTACCTACAACGGAAAAATTATCAAAATAACAACAGACTTATCAACACAAACTCTCAAGTTGAGAAGAGCCTGGGGGGAAATAGTCCAAGCCCCAAAAGAAAATAATTTGCAACCAAGACTGATGTCCCCTCTCTCAAAATTAATGGAGAAATAAGATGTTTCCAAGAAAAGGAGGAACTGTGGGAGTTCATGGCCACCAACCCAACCCTACAAAGAATGCTGAAAGACATTTCAGAGAGAGAGAGGAAGGAATACCAGGATTCCAGCAACAGTGGCAGAGAGGCCTCAATGAATGGGGCAGACAGTGGAGTGAGGGAGTAGGTGGACAAATTATAGCAGTAAAGTGGAGTAGCAGACATGAGACAGAGATGGTAAGCTATGATCTTTAATATAGATAGCCTTGATACACTAAAATAAAAAAAAAAAAACATGCAGAGTAGATTAGGAGGCAGGCTCCATCAAGATGCTCTGAATGGGAAATACAGTCAACCGGAAGGAGGGTTAATAAACTGAAAGTCAAAGATGAGAAAGCAAAGCTATATATGACAGAAAACCAGAGAGAAATAAGGACAAGTCATCCAGCAGCCACAGATAGATTGGAAAGCTATGACACTTTTGTGCAGTGTAGAACTATACAGCTGGAAGGAAGAAAAAGCCTATGACTTCAGTGAGTAAAGGAGTACAGCTCAAGACCAAGCCCAGGGGTAGAAAGGTTCAGCAGCACTCAGATAGACAATGGACTGGCTCCCTAATCTAAAAACTAAAGGGGCTAGTGAGACCCAAAACATACAAAGCATCCTGAGAAGGGGAAAAGTGAAAAATAGCCTAAAAAAGGAAGACAGAGGTCATTGTTAATAGTGTATCAGGATTTAAAAGTCATAGTAGTCTTATCACTCTGTTTAGTTTGATTTTATTTTGTTGCGGTCTGTTCACTCATATCAGATTTGAGGGCATAGACATCTAACCCAAAAATAGCAGGCTTTACATGGTAACTATCCTTAGTTTCCTATTTATAAAGTGAAACCCTGTATTACTTACATTGTCTTACTATGACTGATCTTATTTGAATCTGGTTTGTTAGACCGCGGTTTTGCCTTGGCTTATTTTATTCAAATTTAGTATGTTTGATAGTATCTTGTCTAAAAGTAGAGGCAACTGCTCTTAAGATGACAAGATATAAAAGATATCCATACCAGTTTTGATTATTAACTGCTCTCAAGTCCTACAATGTTTTTAAAGTTGTGTTTTTATAAAAATAGCTATGTAATACTATGCTTAACTATATTAAGCCTGATGATATGGACAAGTTGAAAATAACAAGAGAAAGCATAGTAATTACAGTAGATCACCTAATATTTTGGTCTTATGTGTCTTTTTCATTGCATGTTTTTCTAGGAATTTGTTTTCTTGTCTTATTATGATCTGTTTTTCCCTATAATACAGAGAGGATAGATATACATGTAGAAATTCACACATGGGAAGAATTTTTAAACTATTTATGGGAACAGATTATATAATGCAAGATGTAATGAACAGATACTCTGAAGAGGAAGAGACACTAAGAAACCCAATGCTAATTCTGTAACATTATGATATAAAATCTAGCAATACTATTATTCACTGTTCAGAGTGATATTAGTCTAGTCTCTTAAGTTTAATTTCAGCATACATAAAGATAAGGAAAGCTAGTATGAAGAGAATGAGAGGCATTATGGTAGTCATTATTGACTTCCCCAATGTCAGATCTTGAAGACCTAAAGAGCCTTCATCATCCTGTAGTGATTTGATTAGTTCTATAATATGCAGTATGTATTCAATGTGTGCGAAGATGGGGACAACTATTTGGAAGAAAATGAGAGATAATAAGATAGACAGTGAAGATCTCCAGTGGACTTGCTTTGAAATCTGTATTTCTTTAAATTGTTTCTTTATAAACTATTTTGTTCTGTTTTGATATATTTAATCTTACCCTCTTTAAGATAAAAAACAAGTGTGTAGGACTGATAACCATATTACTAAGTTTTTGTTGGATCATTGAGCAGAACTGTTGGCAGTGTCACTATTTGAATGTCACTTTATATGCTTTAATTTTGTAGCCTGAACAACTATTTCTAAGATGACAATATGTAACTTATCAACTAGTGATTTCTTACTGTTTATTTTTCTGTAATTCTGTATTATTTCTACCCTTTTTTTCCTCCATGTATTTTTTTTTGTTTGTTTCTTTTTCCTTAAATAAATAAATAAAGACTTGGGCTGTCCTGAAAAGCACCACAGCCATCCTTAGCCACATGGAGGCCCCAAGCTTCTCTGACAACAAGCACAGTCAAGTACATGCCAGGAAGCCAGCATTATGATCTCATTCTGGAGACCAATCAGCAAACAGCTTCCCCCCTGTAACCAGCAAGCAGTGCTCAATGTGAGGACCAGAGCTTCTCCAGGAGAACCAGTGGCTCAACCAGCAACATGTAGGAGAACCCACAATGCCTCAACGCACCTCAGTGCGCCTCAGTGCGCCTCAGTGTCTCAATATCTCAATGCCTAGCTACTCTTTCTTCACATCTCTATTTATGCTAGCAACTTTCTTCAAGTGAAACATCTATGCTCAGCACCATGGTGATGTAATCCAGCTGGGGTTAAGTTTGCTACCAGTTCTTAATCCATAACAATGGGAACATAAAAAAGCTTTGAGTCAACATGACAGAACTCTCCCAACATGACTATGTTTTAAACAAATTTGAGTCTATATTGCTAATGAGCAGAGATTTTCTTTTTGTATTCTCAGAGCTTGCAGTATGTCTGGTACATATGGATAGGCACCATAGTAGATAATTTTTTGAATGAATATTGTCAGTTTGTTGACTGTGACAGAGACTCCAGGTGAGAATTTAAATAAAAGCTAATGGATAGTTTGAAAGATATTTAAGTCACTTTCCAGGCTGAGAATCTTAAAGTGTATGTCTCTTAGGGACATAATCTAGAGGTCTCAGTCTAGCATTTAGGAACCTAAATAATATGATTAATCTTTGCCTTTACCACTTCATCATCTTTACTAAGCTCATTGTTTTCAGATCCTTTAACTTGCTTTGTTCCTTATTGTCATAGAATCTTGAAGGTGCCATTTCCCGTGTCTGAAATCTCCAGTTTTTGTTTTGTAGCTGATTTATTTTGAAAGGCTCAGACTAGATATTACTTTCTTAGAGAAGTTTGCCCTGATCTGCAGTGCTAACTTTGAACCCTTTTTCATTTATTGTCTTTTGATATTTTGTCCCTATTTGCAAAGTCACACGCAATTTTAAGTGAAATGTGTTGATTTGTTTCAAATCTATCATATCATACGCTCATAAGGATAGGATCTTTCCTGCTTTCTTTTCTAATATTAGCCCACACTTAGAATTTGAAGCACATGGTAGGTTCTTAGCAACTGCTTCAGTGAATGAAGTTGCATTTGCTGAAAGATCTGTCTTGTCAGACTTGTCAGTCTGTACTCCATTTCTGTCATGTTCCACTTAACACTGGAAGGAAGTGGGAATGATTTGTTATCATTTCCCTCAGAGGGACAGATCAGTTTATAAGGAAATGTACGTAAGACCTGGCACCTTATCTGGTATGTTATTAATACATGATTCATTTCTATCTTGTCTTAAAATAGGAAAAAAGTAGTATAAAATGGTCAAGTACTTTTTCAATATATTCATACGTAGGAAAAGAAAACTCAAGGGTTTTAAAGAAATACTTATGTATACATTGCTTTACATATGTGTGTATATATGTATATATATCTTGACTCCTTGTTTTATACCTTTTTAGCCAATTGAATTTCGTTTTACAGTGCAGTACTATAAACTCCTGGATTGGTTTAACTACCTCTGATGTCACAATTTCTTCATTAAGAAGTCATAATTTTCTTGAAAATACCTAATAGTAAAAACTCTTGCTCTTTTGTCTCATCATCAGAAAAACACTCAAAATATAAATGCCAGAAGGAACAAAATGTCTTTGATCCACACAGACTTCCTCCATTTGTGTGCTTTAGCAATCTGCTGCCAGTAATTGAAGCTATCAAACGTCTTTATTTTTATGACTGATGTTGTTTTGTTTTCTATCAGTAGGCAAATAGAAGGATGAACCCACATAGATTTAATCCTCCATCTCCTAGTTCTGTTTCATCTCTGTTCTTGAGATTTAGCATCCTTCTGTTACTCAGCCTTCCTGACGCCAAAGGAAAAGCAATATGGACAGCTCATCTGAACATAACATTCCAGGTAGGAAATCGGATCATATCAGAACTAGGAGAAAATGGAGTGTTTGGGAATCATTCTCCTCTGGAAAGTGTGTCTGGTGCAGTGGTACTTCCTGAAGGATGGAATCAGAATGCTTGTAATCCATTCACCAATTTCAGCAGACCTGAAAAGGCAGACTCTTGGGTGGCCCTCATTGAAAGAGGAGGCTGTACTTTTACACATAAAATCAATGTGGCAGCAGAGAAGGGAGCAAATGGAGTGATCATCTTTAACTATCCAGGTACTGGCAACAAAGTATTTCCTATGTCTCACCAGGGAACAGAAAACATAGTGGCAGTGATGATAGGCAACCTCAAAGGCATGGAACTATTGCACTTGATTCAGAAAGGAGTCTATGTGAACATCATCATCAAAGTGGGAAGAATGCATATGCCTTGGCTGAGCCAGTGTGTCATGTTTTTGTTTACCTTTGTGTCAGCCACAGTTGCTTACATTTGCTTGTACTGTGCCTGGACATCTGATATATCCGTTGCTTACACCAGAAGGCGAAGACAAGTAAAGGCTGATGTGAAGAAAGCTATTGGTCAACTTCAGCTTCGAGTGCTCAGAGAAGGGCATAAGGAGGTAGATCCACATGAGGACACTTGTGTAGTTTGTTTCGATGCATACAAACCACAAGATGTAGTACGTATTTTAACTTGCAAACATTTTTTCCATAAGACGTGCATTGACCCCTGGCTTTTAGCCCATAGGACATGTCCCATGTGTAAATGTGACATTCTCAAACGTTGAAGCACAGAAAAACATCTGAAGATGTAAGCAAGTCTCTCCAAAGATTGAGATGACATCAATTATCTTACGTCAATTTATATGGAGAGAAAGTGTCAAATCAGCTTCTGTACCCAGCTACCAAAGAAGATGAATTTCTGTGTTGTAAAAATAAAATTCCATTTCATTCCCAGATATTTGGATGTTGTCTTTCTAATAAGTTCTAGTTGTTACGTATCTTTGCTTTTCTTCAAATAAGGACATTAGTATATGTTATAGACAATGTGATCTTTATCAACAAGTTACTAATTATGAATCAGTTCAATGGGGAAAATTTCTATTTTAAACTTTCCATTTTTAAAATACTAATTTTTGTGCTTTTTTTCAGATTTTCCTTAATTTTTGGTCTTTCAAAACATGCATTTCGGGTCATTAAACTTCATTACAATTAATTCACCTTGGTCAGTTAATTTTAATATCCAGAAAAATTTCCTTATCAGAGCAAGTAAATGGGTGATTAATATATTCTAAATAATTATTTTATATAATAGTACTTTTGGTTAAGTAGCTAAAGCTATAAATTATTATTGGCCTTAGAGCAGCAGTACAAAAATTTACCTCTATTTGCCAAAACTCTAAATCCTAACATAGTGAATCAGTTACAGTAGATTTCCCTTCTAGAAATGTCCTTACTGGATTTTTTTTTTCCTTCTCTAAATGTCAGTGAATATTTCTTGGCTTGGGATTTGTATAATAAAGCTGGAATTTTACGCAGTTGTTTTTTCTCTTTTCTAGTTGATGAATAAACACCTATCTAACAATGAAAGAGCTGAAGGACTTGGGTTTTGTTTGAATAAAAATCACTCTTTCCAGATAACATGCTAAACCTTTGATGTCAGATTTAGATGATGCCTGGAGAATCTACACAGCATGTACTACAGATTTAAGAATAGGAACTTGTGTATACATGCAATAAAATTAATGGCCTTACAGAAAGTGAACTGTTATAAGCTGAAGAAGTCACATCAATATACTATCCTATTATGACATATTTTATTGGCTCTGTAGAGCCTTTGTCTTTTTTTTTTTTTTGCTTCAAGTTATGATGTTGTTGATTCACGTTTTATAAAAATTACCAACTGTCTTATCCTGATGAGACCTAAGTAAAACTGTCTCTAACCACCAAATGCACAGAGGCAGTGATGTTTATGTTTGAGGTAAAGGTTTTTGGTTTTTGTTTCTCACCTACTGAAAAGCAACCACTCAAATGTATGCAGCAGCTGTGGCTGACCATGTTCCTTTATAAACCATTCTTTAGCTTTAAAACCACATTGTGCATTGACATGAGGGTAGCAAAATGTAGAGAAAACTGATAGTGTATGTTGGCTGTTCCATTTGGAACATTGAGTTTGGCCAAAATTTGTGTTAACATCAATTTATGGCCTTTAACCATTGCTGCTGTCAGTGGTCAGCTTTAAATGTGAACCTTGCAATTTTTCTTTTTGAAATCAATAGTTCTTTTATGTTTAGAAAAATGAATTTTACTCAACTAATACTACTGTACTTAATCTTTTCTCCTATATTCTGTCTCCTCTAATATGTAGTTACATTATATTGGTAACAGATGTGAGGATCTGGTGGTGGTGGGAGGGAGTTTCCCTAAATATTAGTCTTTCTGATTTTACTCCTGTAAGTTGTATTTATAATCAGTGTAAGAAACCAAAACAAAAGTAGATTAAGTAGAATGCTCTAATTTAAAAATCAAAACAAGATGAAACGAACTTCTGAGAAAGCTTATATTAAATAGATATAGTACAGTGACTTATATAATAAAGAATTAACTATAATCAAATGCGATATAAAAGTAGCATTACGAGATTCACCACTTTTACCTCACAATTGACCAAAATACTGGGTTTCAATTGCCATTCACTTTTAATAAAACATTTTTATTTGTTTGAATTATTTTCTTGTGAAGAAAAATGATGGTTTTATAGTATTCTTGCATATGCCCCCATAGTTTTAAGGTGTGTACATTACATCAACTTTATATTCTTCAGTGTGTTACTCACAACCATATTATGTAGTTCAAGATTAAATCTGTCCTTTAATAGCACAGAAACCACCTATAATAATGTTAGAAACATCTAAGCTAATAAACCTACAGCTTGTTCTAAACTCTTACCTAATTGGCTACTTGATCTTTTATGTCATAATAATACCATGCAACAGTAAGTGATACCTAAGGTTATATTGGGGAGACTGGAATTTTTTCAATGTAGTTTCTCTCTCTCAAAACATCAGAAACTCAAGACATCTTTAAGAATTTCTTATGAAAGCACACCGGAGGACAGTGGATCCTGTTTTCTCCCAGGAAGACTCTCGCAGGATCTTTTTTTCCTTCTTGTTTTAAACTGATCATCAACAGATGCAGAAGCCACACCTTTTTGTTGAGTTAGTTTTTAAATTCTTAAACAAAGAGAGACATGAAACTCCTTGAGATTGGCACTGGACAGAACAACACCTTGTCTTCCTGGCTTTTGAACATCAGTTTTCTTTGGCTTTTTAGTGTGAACTGTGCCAAAGCCAATGCAGGTTGGGCTGCTTATATGAATACATCATTTCATGTAGGGAATCGCGTGTTGTCAGTTTTGGGGGAAACTGAAGTATTTGGAAGAAGCTTCACTTTGAAGAGAGTGACAGGAGTTCTAGTGCCTCCAGATGGAAGAACTAAAAATGCATGTAACCCCAATACCACTTTCAGCAGATCAGCAAACTCAGAGACATGGCTTGCACTTATTGAATGGGGCGGTTGTAACTTCACACAGAAAATTAGGGTGGCGACTGAGAAGGGAGCTCGTGGAGTGATCATCTATAACCTTCCAGGAAGTGGCAAGCAGGTTTTCCCTATGTCTCATCAGCCTTTTCAAGACATCGTTGTAGTTATGATCAGCAACTTAAAAGGAATGGAAATTTTGCGTTTAATTCAGAAGGGAGTTCCTGTTACAGTTACAGTTGAGGTGGGGAGAAAGGATATCATCTGGATGAATCGCTACTTTCTCTGTTTCATGGTTTTCAGTACTGCTATGTTAACATATTTTGCCTTTTATTATATTCTTGCACTTTGGTTTACAAGAAATCAGAACAGGAGATGGCAGCAATTAGCCACAAATCTTAAAATAGTTTTTGGCCAACTTCAGGTTCGGGTATTAAAGGAAGGGGATGAGGAACTAAATCCAAGTGGAGACAGCTGCATAATTTGCTTTGAACCCTATAAGCCTAATGATACAATTCGCATTCTGATTTGTAAGCACATTTTCCACAAGAATTGTATTGACCCTTGGATTCTATCCCATGGCACATGCCCTGTGTGCAAATTTGACATTTTTAAAGCTTTTGGGATTCAAGTGAACTCTGAATATAAAATAGAATCATTGCAAGTTCTAATGGCGAATGAATTACCTGAAATCCTGTCACCTGTGGAAGAGGCAACGAATAATGAAGTTACCCCTGCAAGAATACCAGATGCAGAAGAACACATCACTTCTCTGGATAGTGACCGCAAGCCCAATTCAATAGAGGAAATTGCTTATCCTTCACCTTGACAGCATGACCTTTGAGGAAGTGGATTAAACCTGTTTGTCAAATCAGGTCCTAGCACTAACAAGCAGTTTGTTTGAAGTGTGGTGTATGTGTCCTTTTCTGTTACTTTGGTAATTTTGTGTATTCTTTGTTAAGGTTCAAAGTCAGGGGAAAAATGTTTCAGCAGCATTTTTTCACTTAATTTTTGAGATTTGCTAAACATAATTTTTTTGTTAATGTATTTTGGTCCCATGAGTATACATGAACTTATTTTTATGTACACATTCATGTTAAAGGCAAGGACACTTTTTTTCTCTAAGTATATATATACACAATACTGAGCTTTACTAAGAAAATATATTTGTTATGTTCCTTCTAATACAGAAATTGTAAATTAACTTTGAAAACATAGTTACTGTTATGTGCTAAGAAGAGTAAAATTTATATATTCATAATGTTTATAGTATATTAATTTTGATGTCATCGTGTGTTTTTCCCATTCTTGGCATGAAAATTTTGCTGTATACAATTTTATAATTTATTCTTGATCAAGAGTTCTCTTTTAATACATTTTCTGTGATCTGGATCTGTACAGAGAAAACAACTTTTAAAAATGAAATACTCTTTGTACAGCAGATGTTTCACTGCCTATTATTACTTACATGTGTGATCATAATATATAGATTTAAATGATGTAGAATTTCTGTGATATTTAGTCATGGCCTATTTACTTCACATGTATTCTAACACATTCCAAATTAATGTTTTCGCCTTTCAATGAAATATTTACACTTCAGAATTCTTCAATATAGTTTATTTTGACTAGCATTGCACTTTAGCAGAATTTTAATGAGAAGCATTGAAACTAGCAGGCTAACACTGATTATTGTATTTTTGTATGTCCTGGAGAGAGACCTATTGAGAGATTCTGTTAATTGCTCCAAGCTGCCTATCCAAGAATTCAGAGACAAGTAGAAGGGCAGTTGATACCTGCAGCACCAGCTAGACAGTTTAGAGGAGGAGGGATACTCACCAAGGCCAGCGAGTGTCAGGTCATGGCAACATCAGAGCTGATGACCAGATTAGGACAATATCTTCCATGGTACACCCAGGTGTTTTACCCAAAGCTGGAGAGGTTAGACTGTTAGCCACAAGAGCTGGTCTTTAAAGTATTGGCTGATTCAGAAGAAGCACTGTTTTGAGTGCTGTTTTGTGTTTGCTCTGAGACAGAGAAAGCACACTGTGGACCACACTGGTGCAATCTCTGGGAGGACCAGCTCCCATACCAGCATAAGTTGCTGCTGTTAGATTGGCCACTGTTGGTGTTTAGGCTGCTACAGGCTGACAGCTGAGAGGCTGGCTCCAGGGATTTCTATTGGTCACCCAACAAATCATCAGAACTTTGGAAATGAGTGTATCCAGTGGTGATGGAACCCCTTGGACTCAGAGTTCTGAGGGTTGTTGCAGCTTATAGCAAATTTTATGGGGTCTTTATTCCATGCTAGATTTAATATAGAGGAATTTGGTTTTAATATTATTGTGAGTGTGCCATTTTATCCTCTCTTCACTGAATCCTTGTTGCTTTCTCCTTGTGTTTCCTCCTTTTTCTTTCCTTTGTCCATCACTGTCAAATTGGATTCAGCTTACCTCCATGTATAAGAAAAGAGTATGTGTTTACTTTTATAAAAGATGGCTTTCTTAATGTGGCTATTTAATGTTTAACACTGTGCATATCTTTTTTTTTGAGATTTTTCAATGAATATTTTATAAAGGTTTCAGATTCTGTTTTGGATGTAGGGTGCAGGGAGTCAAGTCTGTAAATTCAGAAACTTTTTCTGCTGGGTGCATTGCACATACCAGGGAGTGAACTATGTACGTTACATAGTTGTTTCTCATGTGTCAGAACAAAACAGAAGTTTTAATCCTTGCCTGTAGAATGTTGTAAACAGGTCGATAAACCGCTTTTACTATAACTTTAATGGCCACAACCTGGAAATAGCAATGCTGTGTCAAATATTAGATATTCACTCTGGGATATTTTTACCTAGCCTGTGGTTGATTATTATTTGACCCACTTTGCAACCACATTATAACTTTGCTTCATAAATTACCCCTGACAAAGGACCTAAGTGGCAACCCCACTGTGGACACCCCCACCACCATCTCTTAAGAGTTATCTTTAAATAAATCTTTTCTGTTCTTACGTTGTTTGGAATTCACTCTTCAATTTTAGGGGTAACAGACTAAGCACATCTGACATCTAACAGGTTGGGAAAAATAATTTCTCTTACATCAGTATTATGTGAGGATGATTATAGAATCTTAAGTGCTACAGAAATAATGCAGTTATTATTACATATTAGCACAGTTAGACATATTTAGATATATTTCAAGTATATGATTTATTCATATACTTGAAATGCATACTTGAAAAGCATGTATTTCTTCTCCCCAGTTCCAATTCCATTATGATAACTACTAAGGATTTGTGAGAAAATTAATAGATTTTAGACAATTTGTAATTTCTAAAGTAGGGGATTAAGAAAAAAATCCACTGAAAAGCAGGAACATATTGGTTCACACTTTCTACCTATTCACTAAACATCTGAAAACATATTGTTATGGTTTGGATAGTGGGTTGAAGGCTGGTCCTCAGCTGGTGGTTCTTTGAGGTGGTATTACCTTCACTACTGCTATAAGGAAGTTGTGTCAAGATGGTGTGCTCTTGAAGTGGATTTTAATCGCTCCTGTCTAGTTCACACTGCCAAATGAGTAGCTGCCTCCATCACAGATTCCTAGCTCATCCATAAGTCAAGCTTAACAAATACTGGAAAGCAGGCTCAGGAGACATCTATAAAGATAAATGTAAAAATAAGTATAAAAGGAGCTGTGTTCACATCAGTGAGCCAGCAGAGGGTGTGCTATTTTCTACTATATTAATAGCAGTTTTGCCAAATAGAATTAATTGCTGCCTTTTTCTTCTTGATTGTTAGATCTTATACAAATATTACTTTCATTGTTCTATGCAATGAAATGAAAATGGTTCTTTCAGGTGCCATCACACCTGTGAGGTGTGATGGCGCATGCCAGTAATCTCAGCACTCAAGAAGCTGAAGCAGGAGGATCACTGTGAGTTCAAGGCCAGCCTGGGCTACAAAATGAGTTCAAGGCTAGTCTGAAATGCATAATGAGACCCAGTATGAAAATATGTTTGTGTACGTATATATATGTATATATGTATGTGTGTGTATGTATATATATATATATATATATATATATATATCCTAAAAATAATTGTCAAACCATACAAAATTTCTTTCACCCATCTTCTCAAAAAAAGTTTCCTGAGACATTGAATCTGTAGTGTTTATTGCTTTCCAGTGGAATATTTTGTAATATGTAATGTCTTGTGTTTATCTTATGCTGAAAAAATATAACAAAAATAAGTTTAAATTGATGGAGGGATGAACAGATGTGTAAAAGAGTAGGGTAAGATGTTGATTATAGAACTTCAGTTGTTAGTATATGTGTGTTCAGTTCAAACTATAAACAATTTTTTGTATGTTTGAACATTTCCATAATAAAACATTGGTGGAAAATGATTATTTCAGGTTCCATGATATCGTCACATCACCTCAAAAAAATTCCTAAAAACTTAATCTTTCTTTAATCTTTGATATCTAGGATATAAACAACAAGCACTGGGCCAAGATAACATTTTGAGTAGCACTGATTTAAAAACGTATTTCATTTAAAAGTCCAACCTGTATATGGTTTCTACATTCCTGTATTCAAGTATCTATGGAATGAAAATATTTGGAAAAACTTACACCTATCCTGAATATAATCAGACAGTTTTTCTTGTCAAGAGTTATCTAAACATATGGTGCAACAATTACTTACATATCCTTTACATCATATTAAGTTTTATAAATCTGGGTATTTTAAAACATGCAGTAGAATATGCACAGGTTACATGCACGTTATATAAGAAACTTGACCATCCACAAATTTTGGTTTTCTAGGAGATCCTAAACCAGCCTCTGATGAGCAGTGAGGGACCTTGTATTACCTAATGCTAAAATAATAATAATGACAACAGTGGTGATGATGGTGTTGAAAAATGTGTTATTACCTCTGTTCCATCAGTAAGGAAATAGACACATTGTCATAGTTTATAGTTTTTTAGCCTGTGCCACACTGTGGACCCGCATGTCCTCTGATGCCCTGCAGATTTCTGGCATATTATTTCTAGCTTATCAGAAGGCAGTGGCACTGTAGAAATTAGGATGAGAAGAACAGAAGCACACACTTAAAATTGTAATTGTCTTCAGGATGGAGAAGGATACCCATTTTATTTGTTGTGTTTAATAAAGATAGATCATTTTAAGTATTAAACAGGATGAGGCTTTACAAATAATACACTAGAATTTTTAAAAATTGATTTTCTGTACCATTGAAGTGGAAAGAAAATACTTTCCTCTTCAGAATAGGAAGAAGAAAACTTCAGCCTAGGAACTGACTTCACAATCCTCCTATGAAATACTGGAGTATGGGAAGAATGAAGAGTGGCTTGGAAGAGGTGGTGTCTTTCACCTGCATATGACACACAGATGTTTACCATGTCCTTGCTCCCTTTTTCCCTTTCAGGGTCTTCATATTGTGCATTGTCACATATACTAAATGCCCACGTCATAGCCAGCAGTCTTTGTTCTCTTTTTTTTTTTTTTTTTTATTTGTGCCCTTAGTAAGTGCCTTCATAAATCCTTCTGTTGCAGTCTCTATAGTTACAGAGTTAAGGAGACTTTGTTGTTGGAGTAGGGAGATTTAAACTATTTGGTGAGGTAAAATACTTGTAACAGAATACTCTAGAATCTGCTATTAACGTATTAAAAGGAAAAAGCTTTAGAACAACCTTATAATGTTTAGAAGACATGAAAATACTTTTAAAATACTTTAAACTATACTTTTCAAATCACATTGATGTTCATTTTGATGTGGATTCATCCTAATTCCTGCAGCAGAATTTGAGAAGAGTTTGGTAGTTTGGGGCTTTAGATTTGCTCTATGGGCTTTAGATTTGAAATAAAGGATTTAGAATAGTTCTAAGGAAAGATTTTTTGAGATAACTATTTCCTAGGTTACTGATAAATATCTAGATGTATTTCTTACCTAACCTCTTATTTTTTAATAAGAGGTTACTTGCTGTCAATTTTAAATGCGATTTCTTTATAACATGGTGAGGCATGGTATAGTAATTTCCAAATTTTTGGAATTCACAGAGCAGTAAAAACAAAAGCCACATACAGCTTTATATATATATATATTAGTTTTTCTTCTGCATGAGAAAGATTATTACTACAATCAATAATCTGTAATGTATTAATAATTTTATATAACAAAAAGAGACTACCTATAGTTTCAACTTAGAACATTAAGTGTCGTCGTAGTCAGGAGATGTGCAGAGAACAATTGAAATCAGGACATGGAGTGTTGTCATGTTCTATGTTGGTGACCCCCAGGCCTCATGTGTTTGCACTGTACATATGTGATTGGTTCATTGTCTAGAGCTTGGATTGATGGTGTCAGTGCTACACCCCCATGGAGGTGGAGCCAGCATATAATGTAATGGCAGAAAGAAGGTGTGTCTCTCTCTGTCTTGCCAGTTTCGGCTTGCTGTTTGCAGCTGCCATGAACTGTAGCCCTGCCATGCTACCCTGCCTTGGAGCCAACTGAGTATGGACTGAAACCTCCAAAAACTGTAAGAAATAAACCTTTCCTTTCCCAACTTTGGGCATCAGGTATTTTGTCTCAGTGATGAGTAAAAAGTAACTAAGACAAGTGTATAATATTGTTTCATGATAGTCACCCAGAGTTAACACAAGAAAAGACAGGAAATATAGCCACAACACTAAAGACAGAATATTTAGCCAAGGACTTGAATCCCATAGCAGTGTCCCAGTGAGTCCAGATGAAGACCCAGAACTCATGACAATGCCTCCCACAAGTCCATCTGGAGTTCTAGAGCCCACAAGAAGGACTCACACCAGTCTCTTCTATGGATCCGTGATGGGAAGGCCCAAAGGTCAGCAGTGCAAGCTAGAAGTCTATGCCACCTGGGTGAAGGAGCTTTGCTGGTAGTTTGAGGGTTCTATGCTGGAACTGAGAAGTCATGCTACTCTCATAATAAAGACCAGGGCTGTCCTGAAAAGCACCACAGTGATCCTAAGCGACATGGAGGCCCCGAGCTCCTCCAATGACAAGCAGAGTGGAGTGCGTGCCAGGATGCCCATGTGATGAGTCCATCCTGCAGACCAAGTGGCACATGTCTTCCTCCCTGGAGACAAGAAGCAGTGCTTGAAGTGAGGACCAGAGCTCCTCCAAGAAAACCAGCCAGCAGCAACATGTCGGAGAACCCACAACGCCTCAATGCATAGCTTCTCCTTCACATTTCTATTTATGCTGGCAACTCTCCTCAGGTGGGACATCTCTGATCTGCTCCATGGTGATATAATCCAGCTGGCATTAAA